AAAAATGAATTAAGATATACTGCTCACCACCTTAACTTGTTCGGGACAGTCTTGTTAAGGAAACAATTGAGATGGTGTTCTCTTCACTCACAACAGATGCAGGGCTGGGCCTCCCCGGTGGCGCAGCGGTTGAGCGCTGGGTTGCGAAGCTGCCCGCAGCCTCTGCAGCACCAGTCGATCCCCGGCTGCTCCCCAGCCACCGGAGGAGGGTCCCACATGGCGCGCAGACCTCTCCTGCCGCCCGCTGCTCCCCTCAGCAGTGTACTTCGGTCCTTCTGCCTGCTCTGCTCCCCGCTCTGGCTCTGGTGAATTCTCTCACTCTCCCGCGCTTCTGACTGTACGCAGTGCTTGTATAAATTAATTAATTAATTAATTTAAAAAAAAAAAAACAGATGCAGGGCAGGGAACCTTCTTGCCCTGTGCTCTCCCTCTGTGACCTCCCCTGCCTGGTCCCCAGGCAAGCAGCCCGTGGTCCTCAGTGCTGCCGCTGAATGCACCGTCCTCCTCCAATTCCTAAAGTGACTGACTATTCCAGCAGCTTCTGTGCCAAGGAGTTACCTACTCATGCCAGAGGGGGTCAGAAGCTCTGCTTGTGTGGGCTCAGGGAGGGAAACCAGCTCCCTCATAGCTCTGGGGCTGTCAGCCGACATTTGCTCATCCGGACACGCCTCCCAGCTGTCTCTGCGCTGCAGCTCTGTGCTTGCTAAGACTCCAGGGGAGACTGCAAAGCAGGAACTCCAGAAGGACCACATGGCGGAGGCCTGCCCCCCTCTCCAGACCCCGGACTTAAGTAAGGAAAGTGTTCTCTTACTGGTCAGCAGTGCCCGCCCCCTCTCTCCCTGGACCTCTCCTGAGCGGAGAGCAGAAACTACCCCCTGTCTCTGTCACATTCCTCGCTTCCAGATTCTCACTCTTCCCCAGGGCGGTGTGGGGACAGGGAGCAGAGAAGTATGAGAAATTTTTTTTTACTTTCTAAATCTTTCTTTCCCAAGTCTGCTAACTCACAACTGTAACTTAAAAGGAAGATATTTGCTGCCTTTGTCTCAGGCTTGTCGGGACTGGAGAAGGCCTCCGGGTGAGAAGCACACAAGCAAGCAAGAAGGTGGGGGAGGGCTTGTGGCCACCACTGAGGCGCCAGCTGTCATCCTGCCCTGGTTTTCTCAGCTCCCAGAGTCACAAACAAAGCTAAGCAGGAGTCTTTCCCACAGGCTGGTTTTGGCCTTTCCTGGCCCAGAAATCCAAAAGCCTTTCCCTTTAACCTTAACCCTTTCCTGGGGCAGGGGCGCTTGGGAGGCCCTGCCCACAAGGGGCAGGAAGGCCTGGACAGGGCTTGCCTTTTCCCTTTGGCTGATGAGCACATAGCAGGAAAAAGACTAAACTGATTTCTTTCTCAGTTTCTCACCCCACTATACACTTAGGTTGTAAATTCATAGCAGCAGTAAGTATCTAGAGAACCTTGAGAGCCCTGTTAATTCTTTTTTTTTTAAAGATTTTTTTTTTTTTCATACGAGAGCTGGGGTGTAGGCCAGAGGCGCGGGAGGGTGAGAGGATTCACCAGAGACAGAGCAGGGAGCAGAACAGCCAGATGAGAGAAATACACTGCTGCGGGGAGCAGGGGGCGCAACAGGAGAGGTCTGTGGCACCATGTGGGATTCTCGCTGGCTGGCCGGGATCTAACCCGCACTGCAGAGGCTGTGGACAGCTTCACAGCACAGCACTCAACCCGCTGTGCCACCGGGGAGGCCCCCTGCCCAGTTAATTCTGAGGGCCAGGCTCTGTGCCAAATGCCAGACAGGCAATAAATAAAACAGCCCTCACCCTGAAGGGCACAGACTATTTGGGGACACTGACATTTAAACAACTAATTCCAACAACTAACAGGTGCCAGCTCACTCGGGGCTGGGGGCCATGGGGCTCAGAAGAGCAAGGACCGAGCACCAAGGAGAGAAGTCTCCAGAGAGACAGGGACACTTGGGTGCATTTTTGAAAAAATAATTTTGTTTTTTATAAAAATGACGCTTGATTTTTGTAGTCATTCAAGCACCAAGTCCAAAGAAGAAACTAGCAATATACCTCAAGTCCTGCAACCCAGAAATAACCGGTATAAACTTGCAAAAGGTGATTTTGCTGCAATTTACAAGAGAAAAATAAACCGCTACTAAAATGAAAGAGCCAGAGCAAAGGCCCCGAGTGGGGAGGAGCAACGTGTGAAGGGGTGCGGGGTGCCTGTGAGGGGGCAGCCAGGCTGACTCTGTAAGCCGGGGTTCCACAAATATGTGCTTGAAGAATAAAGTGACATGTGGAAGGCAGGCTGGCAGAGGAAGAAAAGCCAAAAGGAGCAGACATCAAGTGTAGAGAAGTAAGCCTAATTCATCATGAGGTGATAATATAATAGCCCCCAATTAATGAGCTCTTGCACAGGCCAAGTCCTAAGTTCCGTGTTATTCATTGTAGCCCAATTAATTCTCACAATAGCATCATCTAAGTACTGTTATTATTGTCATTTTTCAACCAAGGAAACGCCCTAGAAGATGAGGTGACCTGCCCAAGACCGCCCACGTAGTCACTAGGGCCTGAACGCACTTGGGTGCCTGTCCCGGTGCAACCCCAGGACTCGGTGTCAGCAACAAGTTGAGGGTTGGCGTGAAGCGCCTCCCCCTCCAGGGGTTCTTTATTTAGTGCTTCAGAATAATTTGTCACATTCAACCCCTGAGGTCCTTAAAGGTGGTTAAAGGGCTTTCTAGACCCCACTAGCCCTAGGGCAGTTCAGTTTAAAATGTATAATAATAATAATAAAGTGAAAATCAAAATCAACAGGCAACTATAAACCAGAGACATTCTGCAGGGGGAGAAGGAAGTAGGATCAAAACAGGGGTGGGAAGAGCACAAGGGACTATGGTGACGGTTCACAGGTGAATGGGTGGTGGGACTTTCACGGGGACTACAACTGAGATGAGAAAGCATTCATTGTAAAAAAAAATGAAGAACAATGTAAAATACATAAAAAAATAAATAAAATTTAAAAATATACCCTGCTTCCTAGGAACCCGTCGTTTTCTTCCCCTATGACAAGGAAAACTTTCAGACACCTATTTTGTACTGCAAAGTACTGGTGTGATTGCTTTTTGCGCCACAGAGATGGGGAGGGGAGCCAGGTGGAGGCCACAGCCAGAGCCTGGGAACCGGGACTTGCAAGGCTCCCAGCCTGGGAGTGGGGGCTCGAAGCCTCCTTTGAGGAGGTTGTTTCCCTCCAGTGTGGGGGCAGGAGAGAATCAGAAAGGCAGAGGGCAGACCTGTCTGACTCAGGCAGGCTGGGTAGAAAAGACCTGGCGGGCCTTGAGACAATCACACACAGGGGGAAGTTCTTTTTAAAAAAATTTTTTTTTGAGTGAGCATTCAAAGTTCTGAGGTTTGGTGCTCTCTGTCCTCCTTGTACCATCTTACAAGTTCCTGTTCACACACAATCCCTATTGGCACCGATGACTCGGGAGAGGTCCAGAGAACCTCTCTTCCTCCCATCCCAGCCACCACTGCGATGGAGCAATGGGTCTTTTTCCCATGAGGAATCCTACTTCTCACTCAGACTCGACCCATTAGGAGAAATGGACAGACACCTGGGTCCCGGGTCTCCAACCAGCTGCCTCTGAGCCACCTCCGCTTCCTGCCAGGTCAGGTACTTGGAGGGAAGGCAGTGAGGACCTGGAACGACAGGGGTCTCAGCAGGACCAGCCAGGACCAGCCCGCAGCCCTGGGGGACCCGTGAGAGCCTGGGCACACAGGGTGGGGGCCAGCAGCTCAGGGAGAGGCGGGAGAGGGTCGTGGAGGTAAGGACGTCCAGCTGGGAACTCACTTGCTGTGGAAAGCGAGTCGGAAGCTCTTCCTCACTCCCTCGTAGTAGTCTTAGTGGCCCCTGGTCTTTGTACTTTCCCAAGATGCAAAGAGGATTTCAGAAGATTGTTAGGGGGAAGAAGGCAAGGGAGTTAGAAACAAATTTTGAACAATCTCCAAAGTTTGGGACCCTTTGGTAGACCCAGGAGGTGAATTATCTGCTTCTGGGACAAGTGCACAACCAGCAGGAGTGGGAGGGACCTTTTCCAGAAGAGCCCTGGAGCAAGAGAGCCAACAGCCAGGGGCCACTGAGGGCAGGTCTTCAGGGGACAGGGACTGTGGGGCAGAACGGCCTGGAGGGGCCCTCCTACCCCATTCTAGCTCCATTCTGGGAGTAACACCTAGAGCAGAGGTTCTCAAAATGCAAAAGTCAGACCATCTCTGTTAACATCACCTGGCAGGCATATGTGACAACAGCCTGTCCCCTCTGTCTCCTCTGCCACCCACAGAATCAGTGTGGGGAGGCCGGAGATCCACACATGTTTCTGAAAGCACCAGCTTCAGAACTTGCTAAAAAATAATAATAATAATCAAAACATTATTAAACTCAGAGTCTCATAAAATTCTAAATGCTTCAGAATCTCAGCGTGAACCATCACAACCCCCACTATCCTGCCCATCTCTAATCACATTCCTCACAGACCACAGCACACCTGGCCAGCTCAGGGAACAGGCATGAACATGTTTTTTTTTCTCAGTAAGAGCTGAGCAGCATTTCCTGTGCCCCATGCTTCATTAGCACATTGGTGGTGTCGCTTCCTGCCACTGACTCTCTGTTTCCATTCTAGCAAAGTATTTCCTCTTTTCTTTCTGTTTTGGGGGTGGGTGGGAGGGAAGATGAGGTTCTCACGGAGCCTCCCTCAGACTTCTTGCCGGGCTCCCCCTCTGTGTCCCTGCACTTCCAGGAGAGGCAGACACCACGCCAGCTGCCTGGGCAACCTCACCTGGGAGCACCGTGCCTGGGTGAGCTCTCAACCCCTGCATGGGCCACAGCCAGGTAGAACCAATTTGTATTTTGGATCAACCCAGACAGATATTGCAGGGGTAGACATGAGGTAGGGAGTTTGTTGGAGAAAAGAAAGGTGAAAAAAAAAATTTTGGTTGTGCCTCTCGGGATTTTAGGTAAAACACAAACCAATTTTGCCTTTTCTCCTGGGAGTAAACAACTTAAGGAAAGCCAGGAAAAGTGGCAGACATGCTGACTGGCCGGTTACGATTAAGAGAAGACATTGAAGGAGAAGCTGATTGAAGCCAGAGAGCATCTCAGTGGTGGCCACGGCATTGGTGGCCACGGCAATGACGCCCACCGGAACACCATCGGCAGGGAGAGGGGAGACCTCAGGAGCAGACAACAGCACGAAGAGGTGAGTGGCTGGGTGGCGAGATCCACCCTCCCCTGGTTAGACAAAGGGCCCCCTGCTTGCCCTGCTGGATTCCTGCCCCAGCCAGGCTGCCACTCCTCACTCAAACCACCAAACTCCAGGCTCCAAGGAGTTCTCAAGACTGCTAGGAAGGAAGCCATTGAGGAGAAAAGGGAGTTGTTTGTGGACACAACCCAGGAACTCCTTAGAGTCAGCTGCCTGGCCTGGAGAGTCCTCGCACCTTGGGCCCTGGTGGCCGTTCTCAATAGTTCCTCTCTCAGGTCACAACAACCACTCCTCAAAAGAAAACTAGGTCCCACCATGTTGGAAACAAAAGATCCACTTTTTTAAAGATGTATTTTTAGGTCCTAGAAATTTGCTATGAATGAAAAATGTCATTGTGGATGTGATCAAGATAAGTCTTTAAGGCACAAAATCTCACAGAACTAATAGTGGGTATAAATTTTACTGCTAGAACTTTCAATATCATACTAACAAAAGACAAAAAAGTCCATCAGCGGCTGAAACTTTGGGATCTAGATCTAGATCTCAGCTAATAGTACAGCTCAATGATGAAAAGTTTAAAACCACTACAGTTTAGGAAAATAAATGTTTGTATTACTGTGATAAACACATGTCACCTACAGGCAGACAGGAACATTGATGAGGAATGAATTCATAAAGTTGTCAGAATCTTGAAGTCCCCCAAAAAAAACTATTTCCACATGTACTCATTTATTTTTTTTAAAGATTTATTTTTATTTATTTATACAAGTACTGGGTACAGTCAGAAGCACGGGAGGGTGAGAGAATTCACCAGAGCCAGAGCGGGGAGCAGAGCAGGCAGAAGGACCGAAGTACACTGCTGAGGGGAGCAGCGGGCGGCAGGAGAGGTCTGCGCACCACGTGGGACCCTCCTCTGGGACCGGGGAGCAGCCGGGGATCGAACCGGCGCTGCAGAGACTCCAGGCAACTTCACAACCCAGCGCTCAATCGCTGCGCCACTGGGGAGGCCCCAGTGTACTCACTTATTAATCCACTCATTCATTGAACAAATCCCCATCAGTCACCTACTCAGCACCAGGCACTGCTCCAGGCACCAGTGAACAGGACAGACAGCTCATAACCTTGTGGAGTTTAAAGTCAAGTGGGGCAGTCAAATATAAACAGGTCAATGAACAAACAGGTAGAATAACGTCCAGCAGTCCTAAGCGCTATGAGCAGAGTAAGGGAGTAACAAGGAGTAGTCAGTAACAGGGTGAGAGTAACAGGGTGTAGTCAGAAAGGAACTGTCTGGAAAAGTGACATTTCAGAAGAAACCCAAATGAAATGAGAATCTGAGCCAGGCAGACAGCTGGGAGAGGTAGCGCAGGCTTGACAAGGCTGTGCTTTGCACAGCGAGAAACAGCATGGAGGCTGGCAGGCAGAGCGAGGGAAAGTGGTAGGAAATGAGGTCAGAAGGTGGGCAGAGACCAGACCATAAGGTGCTGTGAAGCCCTCGCTGAGTGGGGAGAGGAAATCATGGTGGTCACAAATAGAGGGACATAATCTGATTTACTGTGCAGAGATGCTGACATGCATGACATTAGTATGTTGGGGCCGGGAGGGTAAGCCCCGAGGTCTGCGTGGAGTACACAGTGGCCTGCACCAGGGTGGCAGCAGTGGGGAGAGCAAGAGATGACTGCATTAGGGACAGGTGTCTAGGTTTGAACAGACAGAATCTGCTGGTTGGCTAGAAATGGGGCATGAAAGAAAGAGCAGTCAAGGATGACGCGAAAGCTTTTGACTGAGCTACTCCATAATGGAAAACGCCGGAGGAAGAGCAGGCCTGTGCGGGGAGAACAGGAGTTCTGCTTGGGACAGATTTGTTTTGAGATTTCTCTTAGGCAGGCGAGGGGAAATGTCCAGTATAAGTTGGGTAAACAAGGCTGGATCTCGGGAGAAAACCTTCCCTAGAGGACCTGCTTTCTAATATTTGGGGGTAGCAAGTCTACTCGTGATTCCTGCTGTCACCTCATGGCCTGCTTTCTGTTACATCAGCAGTAAGGCCAGCCGTGCCAGGAGCCACAAGTGGCACAGAGCTCCACGTGCATTTGCCTCGTTAAGTGCCACACACTGGAAGTGTGGCTGCAGACCAGCTCCACGAGTTAATAGTGCCAGTGCACACTCTGGACTATCCAGAGTCACTTCCGAACTGTAAATTGGGTGATCATCTCCTCCACATAAGACAGGAAATGCAGGAGCAGGGACAAGGGGGGAGCTGGGAAGATGGACTTGAATTTGCAAGCTTGGCGGACAGTGTGGTGCAGCTGAAAGAGGACAGTCTTGGGACCCACACAGACCCCGATTCACGTTTTGTCTCCGCTCCTCCCCACTGTGTGCAATTTGCCATGTTACTTTCTGAGTCTCCATCTCAAGTTCCGGGGTCATCATGAGAGACTGGATTGTTGTAAGACTAAGTAAGTTTCACATGTCAACCCCTAGCTTCCCATAGGCGTGCAAAAGGGTCCTTCCTGGGGTCACTCCCCTCCACCCTGGGTCACCATTCAGTGACTGCTTCCATCACACAGCTCACCCACCTCTGCTTTCCCTCTGGAAGCCGGAAGGAAGCGTCTTCTCCAGCCTCCCATGGGTCATGGCACTTGACTTTCCTCCTAGATATACAGACTGGAGCAGCATCTCTTCTGTGTTTGCGGGATTCCTCGTCATCCTCCTGCTCATCACAATTTTCTGTATCCTGTGGAACTGGAATAAATGGAAGAAGCGTGAGTCCCTCACCTGCCCAACATGGAGACATGCTAGGACCAATATGTGGCCTGATATCACAGCCCAGTGTATTCTCTAAACTCTTGCACCCGGGCGCGCCCTGTACAGATCCAGCACACCAGTCACCGCCTTGCTCCAGATCCTGAGCTTTGGCTCCAATGGGCTCCATGCTAGTTGGGGTTCCATTTTGGAGGTGACTGCCCCGGTGGCCCCTGAGCCGTTTCCCCTTTCTGCTCCTCCCCATCCATTTACCTCATGTGGAAGAGGTAAAGTCTGAAATGTATTTGTGATACATGTGAGGGTGAGGAATAGTTTCGGGAACCATCTCAGCCCCCAAGAGGGCCCACATTCTCTGCAGTAGCTGTGTGGTGACCCTCACCTGTCTCCTCGCCTTGCAGGGCAAGTTCCTTACCTCCGAGTCACAGTCTTGCCCTTGCTGAGTCTGCCTCGACCCAGACAACGAGCCAAAAATATCTATGACCACTTGCCCCGGAGGCAGGAAGAGCTGAGTAAGTTGTCCGTTCTGATCCATGGAGTACAGACCAACGGAAATTCTTCCCCAGAGTGCACCTTGCACCACTTGGAAGTACTTTCTCTAAGCTCTCAGGCCTTAGGCAAGCTCGGAAGATGGGACAGATTGATTGCAAGACAGAAATCCGGTGGGAGGTGTAGAGAGCTTTTAAAAGGGTGCAGGGGGCCGTCAAGGTTTGGGGTTTTGTTTTTTCTTGATGTTAAGGTAGCAGAGGGAAAGATGGGAGTGTCTAAGGATGGGGGAGACATGCAGAAGGAGAACACGGGTGCCATCATTGCAGGCTGGGAGACTTCTCCCCAGGAACCTCCTTCCTGCCTCTCCAAACCCTGTGCTAGTGTCTAGGGCGCCACAGAGGCTGAGGGGGGCCAGATCTCAGCGCATCATCCTGTAGCTCTGATGCAAATACCATTTGCCACATACCCACCCCACCACAAGGTAGGAGGTTTGGGACTGAAGCACACACTAGCCAACCAGCTGCAGCACTTGTCTTCTGTCCTTCCAGGGAGACGCCCACCAAGGAGTGTCCGTATTTTCAGTACCGCGAGCCTCCTATCCAGAAGCGCCAACAGTCCCCCCTCTGAGGGTGTGGTAAGAGTGATGTGGAATGTCGGACCCCTTGGGAGAAAGGACATGCCTCTGGCAGATGAACTGAGATGAAAAAGAGCTGGGCCTCAGAGTTAGTTTTACCACAAATTGTCCTGTGGCATTTGCTCTGCATCCTATTAATAAATTGGGGAGACTAAGCTCAGGTCCTCCTGAATTCCCCAAGGAGGAAAATCCAGAAAGAGAAGAGCAAGCACTTGGGACTTTAAGAAAGGCACCAGGGCACATGTGTCCAAGGACCTGAAGTTAGAACTGAAATGATAGTTTCAACAAACATGATCTTATCCAAATGAGGATTGATCGCCCCCACCGAAGCGATCACCTGGGAGGGGACACAAATATCCCGACAATGCTGTAACTCCCACTTTGGGAATTACTTCTGGGGCCTGTGTCGATTTGTTTCAATCATCCCTGGTGGCAGAAACAGTGACAAGGCGTTCAGTGTGGAACTGGTACAGAAAGAGTCTGATCACCCGGGACATCCGCTGAGGTTGCCAGGGAGTGATACCACTCATGGCAACCACCCACCCATGTGTCTTATGACCCGCTTCTGAAGGCAGCCCCCTAGCAGGAGTCCCACAGGGTGTGGAGCAGGAGCACCAGGGGTGGTAGAGGGACACTGTTGGAGCTTGGGGTGCTTATTTCCACAATCAGTTCCCATGTGCTGTGAAGGAATCAGTCCTGGGGCTGTGTGGTCCTCTCAAGCACAAGCCGCCCTGGGCAGCTGGGGGCTGGGGTAGACGACCTTGGTGACCCAGAGGCTTGGGCTCCCCTGTGGTGCAGCCACCTCCATGTAGCCACCTTTGCCTCCCCCTCCCCCAGATGCCCCATCCCCGGGCTCTGCTCTGGCCTCTGAGACTTCCCAGGGCAGGAAGTCTGAAAGAAGGATGAAGGGCGGGGAAGAGGAAGCTTCCTTGCCAAAGCGGTTTCAGGACTTCCTTGGCCCTGAGGGATCTGGCATTTAGAGCCGAGATCCCAAACTGACTTAAACCCACAAATATGTTTGTCTTGGGCCCCTTAGTGTTTGAAGAACAGTTTAAACCATTGCCAACATATGAAACTCTAAAAGATTTCAAATGAAAGTTCAGATGTGTAGCTTTTCTTAAAAATTCAAAAGTTCTGGAAACATTGGACCAGCATCCCTAAATGGCCCCGAGTCTACATGTCAGCTGCCCCTTTAATAATCACAGCTAGTGTTTTTTAATGTTTTCTCTGAGCCAGGCGCTATTCTACACACTTGATACATAGCAATCCATTTGCTCCTCATGAAAACATCATGCCGTAGATGTTATGATTATCCCCATTTTGTAAGTTAAGAAACTGAAGCAGAGAGATTAGGGAACTTGTCCAAACTCAGTAGTGATCTGGGATTTGCAGCTTCAGTGTGTGCCTAAGCTTCTGCCTTTTCCCCTATACTACAATGTGTTGCCTCTCAACATGCTCGGAGCGGGTGGCCTCTTGGAGTTTATAATACTTGCCCTGACTCCTACACTGAATATCCACTTTGTGGCCAAAACCAGTTGTCATATATCATCACTGTTTCTTTCCTTAAACTCAGTCCATTTCAGTTATATCTACTTAGCAGCTAAAGCCTTGCAGTTTGCGATTCCCCGTTCAGAGCCTTTCGCCAAGGTTGAGACCTGAGTGAAGGAATTATATTGGCGTGAAAGAACAAAGGCTCTGTCCTTACATATGTTTCCATCCCATCACTGGCTTCCTCTTCTGGTTTGTAGGCCTCCCCAGTGGACAGTGGCCTCCAGCTGCACGGAACCCAGGCTCCTACAATGGAACATGCAGTGGGCATCTATGACAGTACCACAGAGCCCCAGATGTGTGGCAACCTCTGTCCCTCAGCACACAACATCAACGTCAGAGCTTCCAGAGACTGCTCGAGCAGTTCTTCAGAGGACTCGAGAGATTATGTCAATGTCCCCACAGCAGAAGAGCTTGCTGAGTCTCTGGCTTCTACTGGAAGCGCCCCTGAAAGCCTCTCTGTCCTCCCAAGTGCCCAGGAGCTGGAGTTTACTGAGGAAAGAGACTGGGACTGTGAGAATGGCCTTGACCACACTGGTCTTTGGTGTCTGGAAATTGGGTACAGTGACCCACTCAGTGATGGGGAAGGCTCTTCTCAGAACTCAAACGACTACGTCAACATAGCAGGGGTGGATCTTGGAGTCATCCAGGAGCAGCAGCCCTGGGTCACTTTCCAGCAGCGCAGAGATTATGAGAATGTCCCACCAGCAGATCCTCATGGAAGCCAGCAGCAGGCGGAGGAAGTGACATTCTCAAACACTGAGCCTGTAGCAGGCCGGACAGATATTCCAGAGACCCATGCCCAACTTGTAACACAACAGGGTGAGTCCCTGGCTTTAGGAGATCATGTGAACTGCCAGCCATCTGCGCAGGGAGACCATAGTGCTGGGAACCTTGGAGAAGAGATGTCAAATGAAGGTTCTAATGACTATGAGAACCTGCCAGTCACCAAGTTAGGAGACAAGGACGCCAAAGAGGGGTCTGACACCCGGTTCCTTCCTCATGAATCAACATCCAGTCACCAGCTGGAAAGCCACATGGAATGGCCTAGTGAAGACCCTTGACCAACCTTCTATTTTGCAGGATTTGTTCAGTTGCGCCAAAAGAGGCTGAGATATGTAGGGAGTGAAGAGATGCACAGAAGCAGAGGGAAGGAATTCTTCTCAAGCAGGATGCTGTTGTCCCTCCTGCCAACCTAAAAACTGTTTGCTGAAAGTGCCTTAGGACCACTTGGGACGGAGGGGGATAGAAGGGTGCTGTAGTGCACAGTGGACATATGAAGTAGTCTAAAATCAATCTCTATCCTAACATCAACAGGCTACAAAGCAGGTATACACATTTACTTTATAATCCAGGCAGAGGTCAAGAGGAAGGGGGAAATGTGAATGAAGGAGGAAAGCAGTTTCTAGTTTTAAAATAATGTGGATGATCAAATGCTGGTGAAGATGCAGAATAGGAAGACCTCTCACTCCTTGCTGATGGGATGGCAAAGCATAACATCCACTTTGCAAAACTGGAAGTTTATATAAATTTACACTTATTATGTAACCCAGCCATTCCATCATTAGGTATTTATTCAAGTGAACTGAAAACCTGTCTTCTCACAAAAGCAAAACCTGACTGCTTACAGCATTTTATTCACAATTGCGAAAATCTCCGATGTCCTTCGACAGGTGAACGGATAAACAATGGCATATCCATAGATGGGCTGGCCACACACTGCAGGGAAAATGAACCAGCTTTCCGTTCCTGTAACTGCATGAACAAGGCTTGTTAAGTTTGCTAAGTGCAAGAAATTAGACCTAAAAGCCCACATATTGTATCATCTCATTTATATTATATTTTGGAAAAGATGAAACTCTAGGAAGGAAAACAGATCAGTGGTTGCAGGGTAAAGGAGAGGAGGGAACTTTTGAGGTGATAGCTTTTCTGGAAGGTACTGAGGTGGTAGATATATTGATTCTGTACTTGCCAACACACACACACTGTATAGAATAAAGAGTGGCTTTTATTGCATGGGAATTTGAAAAACAGGGAAACCCATGGTGGAATGCAGATTGTAACAAACGATCTCACGTATAGCGATGTATGGCATAGCCTCCTGTATGGCATAGCCTCCCGTGGGGGATGGAGGGAAGTAAGGGAGAAAGAAGCTCACCTAAGTAACTTTGGGAAGCAAGGTTTTTAGTTGAAACTCTAAGATACAGACACAAAGAACTGCACACAAACATTGTGCTCTAGTTAGTCAACTGGTATCTCACAGGCATATATGGTAGCAATTCTGAAACTACTTTAAATGTATATGGGAGCAATTCTGAAACTATTTAAATGTAAGGGTGAACAAATAAATAAACATATTACAGATAATTCTTACTGTCATAGAACGAAGTGACAAGTACAAGTGGAAAAGGCTATAATGAAATCTGTGCTGCTAAATTAGAATTGGGGTACAGCTGAACTCATGTTAACTTTAATATAAATATGAGTAGATACAGAAATAAACATAGGTGTGTGTATATATGTAAGCTAGTATACATATATTTTCTAACTCTACCCACTAAAAGGGCCAGAAGCAGTGACACCCCATGAGCAATGAACATACTTAGCACTCAGATTTCGTTTCTAATTTTCACTCTCCAATAAAGGAAAGCAGAGCTCCTTGGAGAAATGGCTAGTTGTAGGGCTAGGATAGGGAAAACACAGGATGAAGCTGACCATCTTGTGGGGAAGGGACTGAAAAAGAAAGGGATGAGAAGGGAAGGGATGAGAAGAGAAGAGAGCAAAGTGGAGGAGGGGAAGAAAAGATGACAGTGTGCCAAAAGGAGTTGGCTGAGAGAATTCCCAAAGGCAAAGTAGAACAATTTGAGCAATAAAAATAAATATAATAAGTATAAGAAAGTGAAAATGAAAATCAACAAAAAACTATGAACCAGAGACACTCTATGGGGGGTAGGGGGCGGGGAGGGAAGGGATTGGGGTCAAAATAAGGGGGTTGCAATTGTATGGGGAATGTAAAAATAAAATTTATTTTAAAAATATATAATACAGATTTATAACTCAAAGAACAAAATAAGCATTTGTGAGTTCACACTAACAGATAAAATGGAGGAAAGAAATATTACTTGTAGGCGAATTCCAAGTAATAAATGTAGAAAAGAAGAAATAGCAATGGGGTGGGGTATGGGGAAGAAGGCTGGGGTGGGGCAGCTGATTAAATCACCATTAAGACATCACAGAATAATTACTGATTATTAGTGGGTGACATTTTAAGGAGAAATAAGATAGAGGCATAGCCTCAAAGAATTTCCCCCCAAATATTTCATTACTGGGGTGGTTTTAACATATGTCCACAAATTATCTGATACTTTCCCTGGAACTTAATTTCCCTCCCCTTCGGCATGGCCTGGATTTATTTTTGTTTAATTTATTTATTTATGCATATAAGAACTGGGGTACAGGCCAGAGGTGTAGGAGATAAGAGGATTCATAGAGACAGAGTGGGGAACAGAACAGGCAGACTGACTGAAATACACTGCTGAGGGGAGCAGTGGGCGAGTCAGGAGAGGTCTGCTGCACCATGGGGGTAGCTCCCTGGCCAGGGATCAAACTCACACAGCAGAGACTGCAGACAGCTTCACAGAGCTTCACTCAACCCCTTGCGCCACCAGGGAGGCTCAATGGCCTGGATTTAGTGAGTCTTTTCTCATGCAGAATATAAAGAGAGGAAAATACTAAACTCACAGTGGAAAAATTTCCAACACTCCCTTGACCATGTGATTAAGATTAACCCAATGGTAACATTCTGTTGCTATATGATCAAGGAGAAGGGTACTTCACCTCTGTGGTGTTCTTCGCCCAAATCATAAGAAAACAGCAGAAAAATCAAAGTAAATACCATTCTACAAATATCTGACTAGAACTCTTCAAGTGTTAAAATCACGACTCAGAACTATGACAGGCTGGAGGAGACAGACAAGGAGAGTGGCTCTATGTCAGATGCTAGCATTGGGGGAAGCTGGATGAAGGGTATACAGGAGCTCCCCATACTAACTTTGCAACTCTTCTGTAAAATATTTCAAAATAAAAAATAATTTTAAAGCACAGACAAAGCTGGAAGTAAAGACATCCTGGCTCACCCCACTTAAAGAAATGCATTTTCGCTCCGTCCACAAAAAGAATGCAGCACAAAACACACGCCAGTGCAATTGTTCTGGGGGTTGCCGTCTGCATTACTCTGTTAATTCAGTCTCCCCTGTCAACCAGCAGTCACTTTGCTGCTGGAAAATACATGTTAGTCCTTTGTATTCACCCTGGCTCTTAGCACAAGATAGAGGCAGCTTATTGATCACTGATTGTTGATGATGTGGTTTCAGTGCACATACTTATAACAAAAAAATGTTGAGTCCGGTTTTTTTTTTAATTTTGTTCAGGAATGAAGGTTAAACTCCAAAACTGAGTACAACAGCCAGCATTGTGAGCTCAGAGTGCCGCCATATGTCAGGGGTCAGGCAACCCCCAAGGACAGAGATTGGGACTTGTTTAACCATGACTTCTCTCCAACACACCACATTCCTGCTCTGTGGAGTACTAAGACATGTAAGGCTCACTTTTGAGAAACATGTCAATCAGGAAGAGAGGTTCTTTTCTCCTCAACAGCTCCTGCCTCCAGGTGATGACTCTTCCTTTTGCAGAGTGCCTGGTGCCCCAGGAGAACAGAAAGAGGAGAGTGTTTCCAGAGCTGACAGGAGAGCTATGAAGCAGCCCACCCATTATGGGGTGTAGCAACAGTGAGAGTGTCAACAGGGAAGGTGACTGGAGTGGGGCCATCTTGTTGGTACCACCTGAATGGACTGCTGAGGCCAGGGTCTATGGGATAAATCTGTAAGGTACAGACCATCAGAGGGGGCCTCACAAGTGCCCAGTCAGTACCGCAGACTGAACAATTGTGCTCTCCCAAAATTCATAGGCTGAAACCTTATCCTCAAAGAGATAGTACTTTGAGGTGGAGCTTGGAGGTCATGAGGCGGAACTCCTGCCACACAGGGCTCTGTGTCAGTCCAGTTTTGGTGGCCAGTCAGAGTTAGCCAGAGAAAGAGAAACAAGCTGAGAGAGGATGGCCACCTCCCCTGCGCAAGCAGAAGAGGACTGTCAGACAGAACTGAGTCTTAAATACTGGCACAAGAGAGTTCTCATAACCAAGAGGGGATGAAAATTTACAGGAGCATAAGAGAGCTACCACCCAGGAGAAAAGGGATGCTCAACTTACCTGGAGAGGGGCAGGTCCTGAGAAAAAACAACGCCAACTCATGTTTATACCCCACTGAGATGGAGCCCTCAATAAACCAGGTAGCCTTATGCATACTGCCCCTAATTGAGAATTAAAAATTATAGACTATCTTTATTAAATAGGTAATCTTTCTCTTTCTATTTATTTCTTATTCTGAGAATTTTTACAAATGAATGGATGAAAGACTTTTTCTTTCATGAAATTATAATTTTTCTCTCTCTTTATTTCCTCACATTAGTTACCAGAAAATTTTTAGTTAAATTGAATGCGCAATGGTCGTAACTGTCTTATCTCATATTTCTGTTAATGCCAACCATGGGGAAAATTCTCCAAGATCAGGATGAGAAAAATAGATACAAAGATAACTAATCCGCTCTGATTCCATAATTAGTAAAATATAGTGTATTAATTATTCAACCATGTATTATAGTGATTACATCATTCAGAATGCTGTTTGGTATCAAATTCAGAGGCTTACTAAGTGTCCACCTTCCTTCTCCATTACTCACCCCCTAATGGCAGAAGAAGACAAGATTTGCTCTGCTCTGCCTGCATACTCCCCAAGCACTCCCTCCCTCATGATCAGGGCGCTTCATCAGAACTTCTGGTTTTCCTGTGGGCTGCGGCCTGTGCCGACTTCACAACTACTCTCAAACTTTGAGTCTTAAACCAACCTATAAGCCGGAGTCACAGAAGGACAACGGTGCTCTAAGGAACACAAACAACCAAGGACACGCACATCCTTTCATACTTCTGTCACTTCCTTATACAGTAGTCCCCCCTTATCCTCAGGGGAGGTGCTCCCAGACCCCCAGAGGATGCCTGAAACTGTGACTAGCACCAAACTCCAGATAAGCTACTTTTGCCTATACATATCTACCTATAATAAACCTTCATTTATTAATGAGGCACAGTAAGAGATTAACAGTAATAACAGAACAATTACAACAACAAACTGTAACGGAAGTTATGTGACTGGTCTCACTCGCTGTCCCCCTCCTCGGTATCATGTATATAACGTGTTCAGATTGCAGGCGATGTCTGGGGACTGCAAGCATGAAAAAGAAAGCTGCAGATTAGAGGGTCTGCTGTATTAATTAACCACTATGCTGCAAATAATGACAGCAAGAAAGGGAAAGCAACCTATAGTTTCTCTTCCCTCCAGTCTCCCTTTGCTAGCAGTAAGCTAGCATGGGTGGAGGGTGGAGCATGTTGGTGGAATATACCAAAAAGTGGAGCTAAGGGTTCT